TTGCTTGCTGTTCTGTTAAATTTTGCTAGTGTTACTGGTGTGAGATGATATCTCATAGTTGTCTTGATTTGCATCTCTCTTAGGGCTAGGGATTTTGAACATTTCTTCATGTGCTTTTCGGCCATCTGAATGTCTTCTTTGGTGAAGTGTCTGTTCATATCCTGTGCCCATTTTTCAATTGGATTATTTACCTTTATCTTGTTGTGGAGCTCAAGTAGTTTATAAATTCTAGATGTAAGTCCCTTATCTGATATGTCATTACCAAATACTTTTTCCCAGTCTGTGGCTTTCCTTTTTACCCCATTGGAGAAGTTTTTGGATGTGCATAGGGATTTGATTCTTAGAAGGTCCCATACATCTCTTTTATCTTCTCCTGGTTGTAGATTTTTCAGGATACTTGGAAGACTGTTTATGTTGTTGATTAGGACTACTAAAGTTCTTCCAAGCTTTTCTTTAATGAAGTTTACAATCCTTGGGTTTAGTCCAAGGTCCATGATCCACCTTGAGTTGGTTTTTGTCTATGGAGTGAGGTGTAGATCTTGCTTAAGTCTTCTGCAGATAGTTTTCCAATTTTGCCAACACCATCAGAATTCTTTCTTTATATCCATATGAATTGATCCAAGAAAATATAGGAGGGGTATAAGGCATGGAGGCTAGGTATGAAAGGAAAGACTAAAGTTTGTTCTTTTAACAAATGGCACAAAACACCTGATAGTGGCAATGAAACAGGGACATCTGTCCTTATACCTGTGGTTAGAACAGTCCCAGATGAGCTTAGTCACTGAACTCAGACAACTGTAGACAAGACACCTTTGCTGAAAACCAATCCCAAAGCCAGCAGACATTCACTCATCTGATTCACGGCAACGCTGAGTGTCAGAACAGACCTCTGTTCTACAGGGCTTTCAATGGAGATTCTCCGGGTGGCGCACACAGTTAAGTGCTTGGCTAATGGCTGGAAGGCTGGCAGCTGGAGCCCACCCAGAGGTGCTTCCGGGGACAGGTGGGCCAGTGTGCGAATGAAAGGTCACAGTCCCGAAAATCTCACAGAGCAGTTCCACTCTGCACACACGGGGTCCTCAGGGGTCAGAATTAACCAGATGGACCTGACAACAGTGGCCTCACAGAAGCAGACTGCCTGGCCTTTCTTACTAACCTTTTGGTTAGGAGCTGAGAATGTTAACTGATTGCACCACCCAGAGACAGCTTTGCTGAGAAACAGATGGTGGCTTATGAAAGCATGAAATAAACAACTTTTCAAGTTCACAAAAGAGGGTTTTTCTTTTTCCCCTTTCTTTTTTTTTTAACAAGAAAATACAAAAAGCTCTCCTGCAGTTCAAAAGCTTTCATTTAGGGGGAAAAAAGAGAGAGAGGCAGAGATAGAAAAGAAAAACGCCTGCCCTTTGTAAGGTGTTTTAGAAATCCAAAAAAGAGAGGAAGAGAATTCGGGGGAATAAATGCATTTTGGCCTGAAGCAGCACTAAAATCTGATAGTGCTTTTAGAATGCTAGGAGCCCTCTGTGCCAGATTTTTTTAAGAAAGAAGGCTTGACATTCAGCAATTATGAAAACATACGCTGCAAACAAACATAAATCAAACTCTGTGTGCACGATGCGGATGTCAGAGCTGTACATACCTGGTACCCAGGGAGGGACCTCACAGCCTCCACCACGGCCACAGACATAAGATGCTGCACAAAAGGGATGCGCTGTCCCAGCTGGGATTTCAGAGGGATGGTGATGAGCAGAGTAGACAGCGCACATCCAGTGGGGCTCAGCCAAGCGTTCCTTCCCCGGCCTGGAAAACAAGGCCCGTTGTTCCACGCGAATATACCCAGGAAGCCAGAAAATGAACAGGGCCTCAGACTCACAGATTCAAGGGATATCCCCTCCAGATAAACCTTGACTTACTAAAAAGCCTGGACAGTTGGGGGTTAACGCAAAAGGAAACACAAGTCTGGACAGATTTTGAAACTCTGTTCATGAAAAAGTTTCCGATAATTAGTATAATTTTCTGCCTCTGTGAGCAAATCAATTATGCTTTGATGATTCAGAATCTCAAGTGTTTGAACATTTCTCTAAGTTTCAATTCTCACCATATGGTGATACAGACAAAAAATAAAAAAGACAAGACAGTTGGCGAAACCATACTGAGTCTACACTGACCCATGACTCACTTTTTAGAAGTGATTTCCTTGGGTAATGATGACTGCACAACTCTGTGCATCTATGTATTAGAAACCATGGCCCTGTCCACGCCAAATGGGTGAGTTATATAGCATATGAAACATACTTCCCATAAAAAAAAGACTGTTACAATTAATTCTCTGGGTTAAGTCAGGAGGTAAATAAAAACAAGAGTGGAACTAGTAATAAAAAATAATCTATCAAAAATGTATTTTTCTTTTTAACTCAGCATACTGAGATTCAAAGCAATTGATAAAACCAAAAATTTCTTCCATTTATTATGTTCAGTTTTTTTTTTAAAGGCCATAGTCTATATTTCTTTACTTCTTGAGAAAGTCATGAGAGGCTGTGCGTGTTACAGCACATTTGGGTCAGCCTGGTGCCAACCACCCTGTGGACCCCCACTGAGTGACTTCCACTCATTCCTCCACAGTCTGCTTCCTGCACTGACCACAGAGCAGGGGACCCACCACGTGCCAGACCACAAGTGGATTCTGGGAGGATGCAGGCTCTCACTTCCGAGGATCACCAGGTAATGGAAGCCCGGAGCCCACCTCTGTGGTCACTTTGTGAACAAGCCCTTATTGAGTGTCCAACCAAAACCCGAAACCACACCAGCTCCTATCAAGTGAGTTCCAGCTCACGGCAACCTCATATATGGCAGAGCAGGACTCTGCCCTGTGGGACTTCCCATGGCTGATTTTTTTTTTTAGAATTAAATCACCAACACTTTCTTCCAAGGAGCCGCTGTAAACTTGAGGCATCAACCTTCTGGCTAGCTGAGGAGGGTTTAACTATTTGTGCCACCCAGGGACACCTGACTAGCCACTACATGCCAATTCCAGTGGCAGTTGGGGTGGGGTTCACCCAAAGGAAGTGGTCTGGACCTACCAGTGGGTCCTCAAGGTAAAGACAGGCAATTTCCTCCCGTGTGATTCACAGTCTCTGAAAACCCGCTGATGGGTCAGCTGTGAGTCGGTTCTTTTTTTTTTTATTTATTTTTTTTTTGTGAGTCGGTTCTGAGCCACAGTGATATGTTAGAGTTAAGTCTTCTTGAATGCCTCATAGAGGGCACTTTAAACAGACTCAGAAGGCATCTCATGGAGAACCTTCAGGAAAATTAAAATGGTGCCCTCTGTTCTGAGCTGCATTGCTAATGTAAAGGCTGCTTGTCTCCTTCACAGGACGGAATCCCCCACAGGCTCTGCAGAAGGAGGATGGCCAGGCCCCTCCTGTCGTGACTGCCACCTTGGAAACCTGAGAGAGGGCTGCTGTGAGGGGAAATGACTCAACAGCAGAGACGTTGAGGTTTCTGAATAACACATGAGGTTTCCATGATTTGGAATCTATGAGGTGAAAATGGTTTTAATTTTTGTGAAAAAAAATATAAATAACATAGTTATGATTCACAAACTGCAAAGCCTAGAATGTGTCAAGAAGGGGAATTTGAACAATGTAGGCAACCCAAAGTGAAAGCCGTCACAAGCAAATGTCAAGTGACTAATAAACATTACCGTTAGAGGAGAATATTTTAACTCTACCAAGGTTAAGTCTTTTCATGACCTACCCCTCCCCACGTCTCCATTGCAGGAGCAGTAAGAAAACAGAAACAGCTTTTAAAGATATGTTCATCCCCACATCAGCACACACAACTGACTCTCTGACTGCATGAGTTACAGATTCTAACAGAAAACTCAAAGCAATGCTAACAAAAGTTGACTGACCTTGGCCTTGTGTTTGCCGGGCTGCGATGGCTATTAAACCCATTTCCTGTGGCGTCTTAAACATCAACCTGCAAAGGGTGGGAAAGATTGGTCAGGCAGAACAGGGAACCAACAGCACACACAGAGAGAAGCGCAAACTGACATTCTTTTGTGAGTGTGTGGTTGAAGAAGGCTCTACTCTTTCCAGTTTCAAAAATCCATGCTGGATGGATCCAAATCCAAATCCCTGCTCCCTAGTCTACACAGTGCAGATCAAGAAAAAGAATCAAGAAAACACCTCTTAATATCAAGAGCAGCGTATGTGATGGTGGGGGAACAGGTATATTTGCTTGTAGGGTTAGTTCATTTAATATTTCTTTAGATTGTGTTACCTCAGAACACTCTCCCAATCTGCCACCCCTCCCCCATGTGGTGTCCCTTCTTAAGTGACAACTTGCAGTGCCTGACATTTGTTTCTACTTACAGTGCATTAGAAGCCTGAACACGAGACCAAAATCATAACAGAAGTTTCTGATTATTTAGAAAACCAATATGGTGGCAATAAAGCAGTTTAAAAGATACACTATCCCCTGAGAACTAATTATGCTTTAACTATAGTAAATAAATCTACACCTTCTGAGAACTCAAGAGAACCCTAGCTTATTTTAGGCTTGAGTTCTGCTTTTAAAATGGTTTCATTTAAAAGAATACAAACTCCCCTTTTGGGGATATGTAGAAAAATGCACCCTATCTCCACCAAATAAGTCAACATTAACCTTTTTTACAAAAAAAGAAAGAAGAGGGGGAGGAAATTTGCCATTGGAGAGCTCCTCGAAATGTTTGAGGTTGGCATTAGGACAGTTTTTTGCTCTGCTTCCAATAGTTTCTGCTTGGTTACTAAACAGACATAGTTCAAGACAGAACTTAATAAAGTGGCCGGGGGTTGGGGGGGGGTGGTGCTTGGTGAACCAACCATACTGGAAATATCCATTTATCAATGTAGTTTTGAGGGCCTCTTTGAAATACTTTCTTATTATTACTTTCTTTTGTCTGAGGCAAAGTCAAGGGAGAGGTGCGAAATAAAGGGCATTTTGCATGAACATAAACTTTCCAATAATAATCCCTGTGCTGAGAAGAGGCACTAAAGCAAGGCCAAGCTCTGAGGAGTAATTTGCCCTCTCTTCCAGACTAATGGAACTGGGTGGAATTGTACAAATGGCTGGGGCTCAATAAGACAAGGAAATACTTAAAAGCTGGGGGTGGGGGGGGTGAGGAAACCAACTCATCGTGCCTCCCCACTCAAGGCCTGTAACACCCACTGCCACGGGGCTCTCTGACTGTGGCCGTGTCCTTGCCACACTGGAAAGAGCCCACAGGGCATGCGGACTTGCTCAGAAGACCCATGTCCCATGGAAGGGGCTTGGATACGGCCTTTCCACATGGCTGCTGGAACAAGCACAGGGCCTTCTCCGGGAGCGGCCGGTGTGCCAGCCCCACTTCCACCTCACATGAAATACAGCCCCACAAGTATTTCTCTTGGACAACATGAATAACTCATTGAGACTGAGAGTGCCTATATACCAAGAATAAAGCGTCCTTTTCTTGTGTCGGGACTCGCAGAAAGTCTGAAGAAGGACTCTTTGTTTATGCTGGGACATTGTCTTCCAGGAACGTCTGTCTTCTAGAAGGTCCGAGGAGCCCTGCACGCAGACTTGGAAGGCTGCAGGGTCTCAAGGATGGCTAACACACTTTTAAGTGGGATGGAGAAAAGTGATTTGGCACATTGTGAGCAGATTGCTGGGGAATCTAGGATGTTCCTTAAATAAACATGTAGACAGTAGACAGTCCTGTGCTATAGCCTGTGATGGTGATAATGGAATTGGAGAGGGGGTGGATGCAAGAAAAAGGTTGGTTCAGAAACCAAAGGCAGGCTTTTTGAACAAAGAGAAATGATTAAGGGAACATATGCACTAAACTGCTAGGGGTTTGGCAGCAGTTAACAGGGCATATTAATGAGAAGACTGGAGTCTGTGCTGCTGAAGGCCAAGAGGAAATTCTGTGAGGAGGGAGACAGCGTAGGGAAGGAGGTAATGCTTGCTTGGAGACAACTGGAGGCCAGTAGATTTATTTGTGCTATCTGAGATAACTCTGGGGGCCAAACCGCACAGCTCCTGGTCAACAAAGAGGCATTTATGGACTTTGTAAAATTCTCTAGTTCTGAAAACGAAGTTGCGTTCACTTTCGCAGAAAGGAGAAACCATAAATGCATTTCCATCCTGTGTTGATGATGTCCTCAAAAGAGGAAGAAGAAGAAAAAAACAACGGGGGTTACAGAATGATTACCTCCTTGGCTATATATTTTCTTTCCTCACTGGCAAAGGTCAAGGAATGAAAGATTTCTGTGAGTGATGGCTGGATATGTTCACCACAGCACCGAGGGAAGTGTTCAAGAACTGTGCTCAGTTTTGGTGTCTGTTTCTCTGGAGTCTGGAAGAGTTGGAGTCCCAATGGGGCCACCTCACAAAGGAGATAGCACGTTGAACCCCCTGGTTCTGGGACACCACAGCCCCTGACGGGTGTCCTGTCAAAAGCAGCCATTAATTGACACAGTCGTTAAAATAAAGCCTCACTGCCTTTTATTTACCGTGACGGATACTGGCGATGAGGGTTCCACATAATTGATGTGTATCTGGTTTTATTCAGTTGTACATGTGGAAATTTTGAATTGGTAAATGTCAGGTTATCTGTATTTTCACCACAAAAATAAAGCCGTGTCAGTTAAGACTAATTTAGAAAACAAGCAGTATAAGTAAGTTAAAAATATATGAAAGACTATAAATTTAAATCCAGACCCTGTTGATCCATTTTAGGGAGCTGAACGGAATGAAATAGCCCACATTCACCACAATGTTGTAAAAGTGAAAATATGGAAACAACTCAAGTGTTCAGAAGGGAAATGATTAAGGAAATTATTGTAGAAAAAGCCAATGGAATCACTTGTAGTCACTAAAATGGATGGTTACCCAAGTTATGTAGCAACATGAGAGAAATACATGGAATAAATGTTAAAGAAAATAAAAACCATACAAAGATGACATATCCTTTTATTTCTTCTGTGTAAAAATCTCAGCCAAATAATGAGGAGAGATTTGACAAAGAGAGAACAGAAGCTATATATTAGGACATTTTTTTCCTTTTCTTAATTTTTAAACTTTTTTTGGTAATAAGACTTCTTATCTTTTAATTTTAAAATTATTTTTAAGTTTTGGGGAAGATAAACCCCATGGTTTTACATCATTCAGATAATGGTCTTTCAAAATTTTTTAAATTAAAAAACTTATTTAATTAACTGTTCTCTAAAAAATTAAAACATATTTGTAATTAATTATTCACAAATATTTCCAAGAATAGAACCAGAAGATGTATTTCAACAATAAGCATGACAAGCAATAGTAGCAGTCTTGATTATTCATATCATACCTAAATTACAAAGAACGTTCCTTTCAAAAAATTACTTGCCATGTTTTTGAAAAGGAATGGATTTATGTATTAGAACTAATCTGTGCATTTACAAGTAATGTTTCTAACCCCCAAAGACAAATAAAGATTGGATTTTTAAAGAAACTGATGATAAAAGGCAATAACGAAATCTAAAAGAGAGGGAGAACAAAAAAGAAAAAAAAAGAAAGGTATTTAACTTACATCATCAGAACTGACTTATGACAGTAACGGGGATAGAATTCTGACATGAATTGAGGACGAAGCAATCACTACGAGTCCATTAGATAATCAGTAATGAGCTTTAAAACCACTCTGTTCACACACTGTAAATGCTTGTAAAATTTTCATTTCTATGACTTAGTGATTTTATTTCTAGTATTTAGTCCTAAAAAAAAATTATTCACATAGGGAAATAATAATTCCGGAGTGCATCTTTTTATCATTACCTTACTAAAACATTATGAGGGTTCAAGACAATCTAAATGTCTGTGAGAGAGGCCTGAAGAAAGCCCGGCATCCACACGAAGGAACATCACACCCATCGCAATGCGGACGAGGCCACCTGACAAACGCAAAGCTCTCTCCACCACAAGATTCCAGTGATCGCGACAAATGTAGTTTTGAGTGATCAGGGAATGCATCAACATAGTAGTGGTGGGAGGTGAACTGGGGGGAAAAATACAGAAAAGCACAAGGAGGAAAATACACTGTCAGTCCTTCTTCTTGTTTAAAGTGTTTACAGTTCACACACTAGTACATAGCCTAGACTTTGTTCCTTTTTGAAAAAAAAATTAACATAGATAGAGATTACACAAAATGTTTCTGATGCTTTGGAAAAATCTCTCTGCTTTGGAATTATTTAAATAAAGCCACATATTTATGGACATTCATTTTATACTGCTAAGTTTTTTAAAAGGCAGGCATACAAAAGGCATTACAGCCTGATCCCCTTTGCATATGCTATGGCTTCCTACGTGTATTTACAGATAGGGGCTGGCTAGTCAGGCCTGAATCACGGTGACCTGCACAAGGGTATGTAACATGGTCAGGCCCTGTGTGGCCACCGTCGGCTCAGGGCAGGCTGCTGGGATCACTGGGTCTTCACTGACCGACTTTTGGAAGCAGACCGCCAGGTCTTCCACAGAAGGACTCGTATTAGCGTGGTTCGCTCAGAGGATGAAAGAGGAATTATATGATGACTTTAATCTTCCTGCTGTTGTCTATGTGCTCTCTGGGTGGTATAATTTTTAAGTGACTTTTCTTTTATACTTGCTAATTTTCCCAATATTTCTACAATTGGAAAAAACAGTGTACATGCATTTTATTATTAAGGAAAAAATCAAGTAGAAGTACATTTTTAATCCCAGCTTTTCTTTTCTTTTTTTTTTTTTTAAAGAGTTGCATGACTTTTGGGAACATCTCATTCCTCAGAGCTCAAGTTTATTTGGCTGCTTTTCTTTAAGTAAGGATCCTTGGAGGTGTCGTCAGTAGGGAGACGTCCTGCAAACCCAAGTACCGCTCCTTGGGATTTCTAGTCTCAGAAAATTCGCTGGAGGGTCAGCTGTTAGTTCTGACTGGAGAGCAATGA